TCCAGCTAACAGGACTCAGGCGTCATTATTGGGCCTGCTATTTGGTCCCAGGTGACCCTGGAGTTTGGGACATTCCTTCTTCCAGTGTCCATATTCCTTACAATAGGCACATTGTCCCTGGTCTGGACTGGGTCGATCTCTTTTGGGGACGTGTGGGGCCGGTCCATCCAGAACTCGGTCCGGTCAGACCCTGGACTCCTGCTAGCAATATCTTAGCCATCTCTTTTTGCTGTTTCTTGTTTTCCTTACTCTGGTTTTCCCTGTCCTCCTTCCGAATCCTTTCTTGTAGTTCCTGATTCTCCTTCCTGATTCTATCCTCTCGTTCTTCCAGGGTTTCTTGGGTGTTAAAAACCCTTTCAGCTACTTTCATCAGATCCCGGGTAGTCATCTCCCCAAGCCCTTCCTGCTTATATAGTTTCTTCCTAAAATCAGGGGCAGCCTGATTTATGAAGGACATTATCACAGCTGACTGATTCACCTCCACTAGTGGGTCTAGGGGGGTATACTGTCTGTATGCATCATAAAGACACTCAAGGAACGCATCAGGGCTTTCATTTTCCCCCTGCATTATTGCCTTTACCTTAGCCAAATTGGTAGGGCAGTGGGCTGCCACCCGGAGGCCTGCCATAAGAGTCTGGCGGTAGACCCGGAGATGCTCCCTACCTTCTGCGGTCCCATAGTCCCAGTCGGGTCTGTTTAAAGGAAAACGATCATCAATCAGGTTTGGCAGGGTGGTCGGTCGCCCATTGTCGCTGGGGACATTCTTTCTGGCTTCAGTGAGAATCCACTCCCATTCCTTGGTGGTGAATAGGGTCTTAAGGAGCTGCTGACAGTCATCCCATGTGGGACTGTAAGTATGCAAAATGGACTTGAACAGATCAGTCAGGCCTCTAGGGTCCTCAGAAAAAGGAGGATTCTGGGCTTTCCAGTTGTACAGGTCACTACTTGAAAAAGGCCAATACTGATAGGTGCATCCCCCATCGGGACCAGCACCACCCAGGGCCCGCACCGGGAGGATGGGGGGCCCGGTGGAAGTGGAGGAGGGCTCCTCCTCTGGGGTTTCTTCTCGCTGCCTACGGGGCCTGAGTCCCCTCGCTGGTCCGGAGACCGGGACAGGGGGTGCAGACGGGGAGGCTGATGAGTGGGGAGGCTCAGAGGAGCCAGCTGCCTCTGGCTGGAGTGGCACAGCAGCAGCATATGGCGGGGATTTACTTCACAATCTAAGTCTATCAAGGATGGATGGAGAGTTGGGTCTTCCTGCAGAATAGGCTTCTTAGGGGAATTAACGGGAGTGGGGGTGTTCCCCGACACGGCCAGTATTGCGGGCCGGTCTGTAGGTGCTCCATGGATAAATGGCCACAGCCAGGAAGGGGGGTCTTCTACTAAAGTCTGCCACATAAGGACGTAGGGATATTGATCAGGGTGGCCATGAAGACCGGGTCTATTAATGACATCTCGGACCTTCTTAATCGTGTCCAAGGAGAAGGTACCTTGAGGAGGCCAGCCTACATTAAAGGTTGGCCATTCCGCTGAGCAAAGGGTGTCAAACTTACCTTTCTTAATTTTCACACCATAATTGTGTCCCTTAGCACGGATTTCTGAAAAATGACTCAGAAGAAGGGTCTTAGGAGTTACCTGAGCCTGTCCCATGATGATCAGGAGAGAGGGACAGAGGAGACAGCAAAGAACAAAAGAGACAATTCCAGCAGACAAATAAATTCGCACAGGACTTTCTAACATACACAAATACCAGCCGGTCAACCAGACTACTCTCACAGGCGCAATTCCATTCACACCAGATTTAGGATCCTTACCCAAAGACTGCCCAAACGGAGTCCACTGAAGACGCCGGCGTGGCTCCTGACCGTCGGGGATGTCTCCCACGACTTCCAATAGTGAAGCTTCCAGGGCTGTAACCCCTTCCTTCCACTCAATGAGAATTCTCAACCAAATTCAGACGGGGACTCTAAGTCCCTCCAAACGGAGGTGGACAATCCTCCTTCCACAGTCTTTCCCAATTAAACCTCAGTATCGGAGGCCGTTTGTTCCTCTCAGGGAGTGGCTGAGATCTCGGTGGGACCTCCAGATGTTGGGGTCCAAGGTTGACCACCCCTCAGAGGAACAAAAAGATACTCACGATAATGTAAGCCACAAAGCGAGGTTTATTTCCAGCCAGCTGGGGTCCGGGTATCCGCCTGACGCAGTGGGTTTCAACACGGACCCCGAATACAAAATTCAGGCTGCTTTTATATTTTTTTAGACATTAGTCATGGTCACACAGTAATTTTTATGGTCCCTGGGGTCACATATTTCTGATATCACCCACATCTTGGTGTTAGGGCAAGATTACTTGAAGATTATTTATCAGGAATTTGGTAAACACCAGGTGTCTCAACTCATTGACTCACATACCGTTTTAGCAAGATTAACCAGAAACAGTCCCTGTTCCCAGAAACCGTCCCACCTCCCTTAGTTCCAGTAAGTGGTGGCTTGGGTCATGTTAGCCATGGCCGGTTTCAGGCTGAGTGGGCTGCAAGCCTCAAAGGTACCCTAACATTTGTCCCCTAACAAAGCAGGGAATGGAGTTACAAAGACAAGATATCCTGGAAACTATGGTTTCCCTATAGAGAATGAATGTTAACCACTGAAAAGAACTTTCATCCTAGTGGGCATGGGAATTCAGAGTAATGAACATTAACAGTTTCCTAACCATCCTTTAATTGCCACTTATTGGCCTTCCCCCAAGCTATTGACCCTAGAGACAAAATCTTTATCCTTTGTCTTAGCATTTCTCTGAAAATGTACTGAAAAGTTGTGTCAACTATGCTATATAAGTCAGCACTCAGAGCAACATGTCTGAGAACTCCATTCTCTGCTTATCTCCCATGTATATGTGATAGGTCAATAAGCTTGTCTTTTGTTGATCTGTCTTTTGTTATGGGATCTATTTCAAATAAGAACATATGGAGTTTGGGGAATTAAAGAAAAAATTACTCATTGTCTTTAACCTTCCTTTTGTATTTCCACTTTTATCTCCTATCCACCCAGTTCATTCCACATTGTCCCACCTAGCTACCTCAACTAATCTCCCTCCTCTCCCTTTCGCTGTCTACACAGCTTGCTTCCTCATCTCTTTCAGCTCTTTGCTAAAATATCTTTAGGGAGATCTTCATCGGTCACCTTATCTAAATTCCAGCTCCCAACTTTACTCCTTATTCTTGCTCTTTTTTTCCTTACCATCTGACATTATTACTTCTGGGATTTATTTTCTGTTTATCTGAGTTGGGGTATAATTCCACAAGACCAAAATTTTGTCTGCTTTGTTCTCCAGATGTAATATCAATACACAGACACATTGTAAACTCTAGGCAAACATACTTGGATTAAGAAACTTTAAATTCATCAATGTTGAGTGCTACTTGTTGCAGGAATAATGAAGGCATCATAATTAGGTTTAAAAATGGTAGATGCCTATCATTGACACAAAATATTACATGCCTTATAAAGCAATAGGATGAAGTGATACAGATAACATATATTTGGCCAGTGTTAAAACTAGATCAGAGGTATTTGAGCTTTATTAAGCTCTTACTTTTCCTATGTATTCAGAAATGTCATACAAACATAAGTTACTTTTAATGAAGAATGATTAATTGCTAAATTGGCCATGAAAAAGGACCAACTGAGTACCTCAACAGGACCTTGTGCTAATGTGCACAGAAAAGGACCCAGGTGAAAACTGAAAGGCATCTTAAATGTTTGCCAAGAGACCCGCAATCATTATCTGTTCCTCCTTTAGCATCCCTAAAAACCTAATTGTACACCAATAACTAAAAATGGCTGTCTCAACATACAATCATATTAGCCTTTTCCTCAAAAATTACTCTAAAAGACAGCTGCTATTTGACTCACTGTAGAGATTACCATTGAGCAAGCCAGAAAGGGCTCATTAATAGACCAGTATCTCTCCAAAGGCAAACTACAGGAAAGCATGCTTCAATTAGATAACTCCTTGCTAAACCTAAATTAAAACAGGATTGTAATTTATTTAGCATTATCTCAACCTCTGCTTCCTATGGGTAGCACCTTTAACATCTAATTAGTTGCTTGAGCTCACCCCTCGGACTCCAGTAAAATTGGTCCTCATTGGGCCCCCAGGCAAAGGTTATTTTTTATAAAAGCTCTCTAAGTGACCATAATGTCACATTGAAACCACCGGATATGATAGAATCTTAGAGGCTCCTTATTATGAACACTTTAGAGAATATTTCATTCTCTATATAAACAACGTGCGGTTTACAAAAGCTGGAGTTCACAGGCAGGCAGCTTTTAAGACCAAACACCAGTAAAAGAAACTAGGCTTCTTAAACTAGTGCTCTTGAGAAACCTCCTGAGCTCAACTTGGTAAAACGCAGATTCTCACTCTAACCTGGGTGGGGCCTGGCAATGTACGTTTCTAACAAGTTCTCAGATTAATGTGCCCATGTTGCCTAGGCATGAAAGCAAGAGAGCTCAAACGTACAGCTTAGGTTCCACCACGAATATGCTAGAAGTACTGCCAGGGTCTCGGCATGATCTACTTACAAAATTCCCAAACCTGTGGAAACCTTGAACTAACTCACGCCTCCCGTTTATACCAGAACCCAGCCTTTTTGTAGGTAAAAGAGTTCACCAGTATGTATCCAGCTAAAGACTGTGTAACCGCCCACTTAAGCATAAGTAACCAAAATATTGCTAAATCCTAAACCCCAGCTCATGAACAGTACATTCAGCATCCCCTTGCGACTCCTAGATAGTAGTCTACCCATCTCAGTCAAAATAATGCAAGCAAGGTTGTCAAGTAAATTACAGCTTCTTTCAGTAAAGTGGGTGGCTCTTAGAAGAGCCTTTGAGTTGCTGAATCAGCGCCAAGTAAGCTTTAAGCCCTCTCCCCACGAATGCGACGAGCGAGCTGAATGTCCTTGGGCATGATCGTTACTCGCTTGGCGTGGATGGCACACAGGTTAGTGTCCTCGAAAAGCCCCACCAGATAGGACTCACAGGACTCCTGCAGCGCCATGACGGCCGAGCTCTGGAAGCGCAGGTCGGTCTTGAAGTCCTGCGCGATCTCGCGCACCAGGCGCTGGAACGGCAGTTTGCGGATCAGCAGCTCGGTGGACTTCTGGTAGCGGCGGATCTCGCGCAGCGCCACGGTGCCGGGCCGGTAGCGGTGGGGCTTCTTCACGCCGCCGGTGGCCGGCGCGCTCTTCCGGGCGGCCTTGGTGGCCAGCTGTTTGCGCGGCGCTTTGCCACCAGTAGATTTGCGCGCGGTCTGCTTAGTGCGAGCCATAACGGCGAAAGCCGGAAAAACAGTAATATTTAAATACCCTGAAGAGGTTGCCTTTATATATACCAAGAAACATTCTGATTGGCCTGTTTTCAAAAGTCCCGCGCAACAAAACTATTGGCTGAAGAGTCAATGAAGTGATTGGTGAATGGATCACTGCACCTTCCAATTCTCCGGTATTTTCTTTGTAGTCTCTGACCCAAGGTAGTTATATTCTTAAATTTCTAATTCCAAGCTTCTCGGTCCCTGAAAGATCCACTTAAAGATCGTGCAAACTGCTAGCTCTAAATTAGCAAGTGTGCGATGAGACTGGAGCACCCGAAGACACGCTGAGACATGTATATTTTCGGGGTGTTTTTAACTAAGCATCAGGGCTGCCGCTTTCTACCTCCACTCAAATCTTTCAGCCTTTATAGCAGGGTTCCTGCGGGGCGGGGGGTTGACGGGGCGGGGGCAGTACCTGGAAATGTTACCAAAAAAGCGCCTAGACCCAGCATAAGTGGGCAAGAAATGTTATTGACTTCCGAAATTTTGGCCCAAGTGGAATTATACTTTAATAATTTTAAAGCCCAAGTTGATGACTTTCAAGGCTTCATTTCTGCTGTTTTGAGTCTTTATTAAAACTTTGTAAGTCTATTACCGTCATTCAAACTTCAATCGTTCGTTACTTTTGCCATCCTTCCTCTCCCGAGACAAAAAACATACTAGTGATTAAGGCTTACAATGAGCCTGCAGCTGCTTATCAGTGACTCAAGCCAGTAATGGTAGCTACTTGGGAGGCTGAGATTGGGGTCTCGGTTCAAGACGATCCAGGACAAATACCTCTAGATTCCGTGTCTAAAATACCTAAAGGAGTGCAGTTGTGGCAACCCTACATAAAGTCTGCTCTTAAAATTTTCCTCATTCAGAGCACCACCGAATATCAAAGCTCAGCTACTTCCAGTGATATTCAGGAATCAGGTCTATATTTACTCTCGACGGAATAAACAAAGCAAATTTGCTACATGCTCTCTTATGAGAATGTGGATGGCTCTGAAAAGAGCCTTTGGGTTCGGATGAGGCAGTCACACGTACCAGATCGGTATCTTTACTTGCCCTTAGCTTTGTGGTGGCTCTCGGTCTTCTTGGGCAGCAACACAGCCTGGATGTTGGGCAGCACACCACCTTGGGCGATGGTGACTTTGCCCAGGAGCTTATTGAGCTCCTCGTCGTTGCGGATGGCCAACTGAAGGTGGCGTGGTATGATACGGGTCTTCTTGTTGTCGCGTGCTGCGTTGCCCGCTAGCTCCAGGATCTCAGCGGTCAGATACTCCAGCACCGCAGCGAGGTAAACTGGGGCTCCAGCTCCTACCCGCTCGGAGTAGTTGCCCTTGCGGAGCAGGCGGTGGACACGACCCACGGGGAACTGAAGACCAGCCCGGGAAGACCGGGTCTTAGCCTTGGCGCGAGCCTTCCCGCCCTGCTTGCCACGTCCAGACATTGCAAAATGCTTAACTTTGAGAGCAATCTCAAAATGCTCAAGTAGCTAGGATTTTATACAGTACTGGAGGCTCGTAAACTAACCAATGCCAGAGGAACACTACACTTTTAACCAATCAAATAGTAAGCCTACCAAAAAAAAAAAAAAAAAAAGCCTCTTCACTCCTAATTTACATAACGTTCACAGATGTAAAGTCAAACCAGGGCTACGGGATTAGCCAATGAGGGGTTAAAAAAAAAAAAATCACAAGTTAGTATACTAAAAGAGCCAATCAAAGGCTGTATCTGACAAGTCTTAATTTGCATATTCAAGAAATAAATAAATATACTGCCTGAGAACCTTCGTATTTTTGTGGTTTGTACTGTGAAGGTGATATTTTGTCTTAGCTATGCCAGAACCAGCCAAGTCTGCTCCAGCGCCCAAGAAGGGCTCCAAGAAGGCGGTGACCAAGGCGCAGAAGAAGGACGGCAAGAAGCGCAAGCGCAGCCGCAAGGAGAGCTACTCCGTGTACGTGTACAAGGTGCTGAAGCAGGTCCACCCGGACACGGGCATTTCGTCCAAGGCCATGGGCATCATGAACTCGTTCGTCAACGACATCTTCGAGCGCATCGCGGGGGAGGCGTCTCGCCTGGCGCATTACAACAAGCGCTCGACCATCACGTCCCGGGAGATCCAGACGGCCGTGCGCCTGCTGCTGCCCGGGGAGCTGGCCAAGCACGCCGTGTCCGAGGGGACCAAGGCCGTCACCAAGTACACCAGCTCCAAGTAAGCTTGCTGTTTTTGAAGCGCCTACGACCCAAAGGCTCTTTTAAGAGCCACCCACTTTGTCTTTTAAAAGATCTGTAGCTCCAGCTTCGGTTCGTTAAAACCGGGTAGGAAAAGGTAATGGTGGCGGTTTATTACTTTTTAGAATAATTTTTCTAACACCTAAGGTTTTTTGGGGTTTTTTGTTTTTTGCTTTGCAGTACTGGGGTTTGGCCTGGGCTGTATGCTTGCTAGGCAGATGCTCTACCATTTGGGCCATACCACCATCTAACACCTGAATTTTTTAAAGAATAAAAAGTAAATGCGTTTGCATTGAAGCAGATTGTTTTCAGTTTCACAGCCATAATGCTATTGTCCTTCATCGACAGCTACCAGGGCAGTCAAATTTTGAGTGGCCCTATATTTCAAACAAGGGTTAGGATAGGAGTTGAGTAAGATATTTTGTAATTTGCTGGCACTGCAAATGTCTAGAACTGCTTCTGATTCTGATGTTGCCCACGAACTCGATGTTCATCCTAGCCCTCCGCAGTGACCTGGACCTTGACCACTATTTCATCCCTTGGCGTTTCTTTTTAAAAGAGTAAGGTTACAGGGATTGCCATTTGTGTGAGCATCCTTAGCATACATTTGTCATTACTTTTATCCTACAATCACCTCCAGTGAAGGAATCCGTTTTACAAGCGAATGAATAAAAGTTAAATAACTAGCCCCTTACAAAATAGTACTGGGAAATAAGCCTGAGATCTGAATTCCATCTGCCTGATTCTAGATAATACACCCTATTTGTTAGGAGATTTTTCTCAAGCAGTAAACTGGTTACTATCATAGAAGAAGAGAAATTTAGGTTCAATTTACCAGAAGAAAAATAAAACTGGTTAGGAGATATACATATAATTATTGTATAGTAGTCATTACACCAGCGAGTTTACGAAAGTAAAAATCACTACAAAGCAAATTGAACTTTTGTGAACATTATGTTGTGGAGGAACTGGACACTGGCAATGTAAACCTGAACTCAGTAACATTATTTTCTGCTTATCAGCTACATGTCTTAATGTACAAATGCCTACAGAGCAAAGTACTATGAATATTAAGTAACCCAATTGTGTAATGAGGCTTGTGAAGGAAATTTTCCAAGCCCCATATATTATTTAGGAATTCATGTATTGATCTCCAGTGCAACTATGGTATCTTCTTAAACAATACTCATGAAAAGAAATATTTAACCATACTTTAATTGAGAAGTCTTTGAGAATAAAATACAATTGTAACCGCCTGCTTCAATCCTGAGTTGCAGCAATTAATCTCTGAACATTTCCTTACTCGAGTGGAAAATAGTTAACTACTGAAAGAAAACGCTGGGATGACTAATGAAAGAACACACAGATAAAGCACTTAGGAAAGTGACTGCACTGAATAAATTCCCACAAAATAACGTGGTTCAAGCCTCTGCTTGACGAGATAGGGAATCGCACTTGGATTTCCACATAGGAAGCCTGCAATCCCAAAGCCTTGAAACAAGGCAGTAGTGGGCTGACCTTTCTAGTCCTTAACGTCAATTAGGGTTACTTGTCTGGCAGTGTAAGCAATGGGCTTAAAACAATCCAATCCCCTCTTTAAAACCATTTCTTTCCTAAAGTGTTTTGGGGACATTCTAGTTCCTGTAACTGTTAAAACTTCCTCTGACTTTGCCGCCAACACAAGCAATGTGTATTGTTTTCCAGGAATCTTTCCATGCCCGCATGACAACTAGTAACCCACTTAATCGTTTCAAAAAAAAAAAAAAAACTAAAGATAAAAAGGGAAGCTTTATTTCAGCTTTCAAAAGGGGAGGAAAGCCTCCCAACAAAATGACAGTGTTCTAAAGTAACAAAGACAAGGCATATTTACACAGTTCCCAGACAGTCGACTATGCAAATGAGGGATTCAAGCGTACTAGAAGCTCTTTAAAGTGATTGGTTCATTACAGGACACAGTTCATTGGTCAGATCCCGAGCCAACGTTTCCTTGGTAATTGAAACTGAAATTAGTCCTGTTGTATTGATTTATTTTGGTTCTTGCAGAAAAACTCAATAAGAGTGTGACCTAGCTAGCAAATTTTTAGTTTGGGTCCAGTTAGCTACTTGGCTTTTTTCAAAGTTCACAGTATTCACATGTGTCAGGTTTTAAAGAAGGAAATCTGGAAATAACAGAATTGCTTAGTAATTTTTTATCCTTTTTATTTTCCTCATACCCCCTGCTCCCTTCACTACCCTGACTACATTTCTTTTCACATTTCTTAAAGTGTTTTCCTTGGCCTGATGGAGTGGCCCAAGAGGTAAAGCACCTGCCTTAAAAATTAAGAGATACTCCATATGCCTCAAATTAGAACACTTTTTTTTTTAAGATGGACATTGCAACCTGATAATGTTCTTTAATTGGAACATAGGAAAATGGCTGCCTTATGAGGCCAAACTGGCCTGAATGCATTCTGTCTCAGAGACAGTAATTCGTTGTTATAAATTACTAACAGCTGAAGAACACCATCCCACCCCCAAAGTGGAGATAATATCATATTTAGGTTCTAATTCAAGTAGTTTCTACCTTTATATTTGTCATTCCTAGAGTACATAATTTCTTAAAAGGACCAAAAAGGTCTCTAGCTCCCATCTACCCCCAACAGTGCATATATTGATGGGTTCAGAACACAACACCCCAAAATATGACACTTTGACATATTAAATATTTTAATATAAAGAAATTTGAGAAAAATGCATGTGTAAGAAAGTCTGCTCTTCCCCACTCCAGAACCTTTTTCCACTACAGTAAGCCCTAAGACTCTTGTGAAACCTAACACCAAGAAAATCTGAAAAAAAAAAAAAAAACAGACCTTGCTAAGTATCCCCCAGCTGATTACCCTTAGTTCGTACTCTTCTTTTTGTCCAATTCTATTTCTGCAAGACTGCCCACTATCTTAATCAACCCTTGCGTAAAATCACAGGTGTAACTACTTCTACTCAGGTGAAACTGATTTCCTTGTGAAGGCACCCATGTCAGGTACACATGTTGAATAAATGTGTATTATTTTCTCTTTTGTTTTTATTTTTTTGTTACAGGGGGACCAGCCAATGAAACTATAATATTAAGAAGGAAAAGGTAACATTGCCACCAGTACACTATACACTAGGTGTGAGTGTGTGTCCATACTCTGTTTGTCTTTGTGGAGTAGAAAAGCAGGCAGAACACTAAAAAGATTCAATGCAAAATAATCAAAGAATAAAAATGGTTAAGAAGTACTTTAGTTTGCTTGAGCTGCCAATAACAAAGTACCACAGAATGGATGGCTTAGACAAATTTGTTTTCTCACAATTCTGGGGCTAAAAGTCTTTGAGCAACCTTATGACAAGGGTTGGTTTCTTCTATGGCCCTTCTCCTTGGTTTGTAAATGGCTGTCTTCTCTGTCTTCATATAGTCTTTTTTTTTCTGTGTCTGTGTACTAATGTCTTCTGACAAGGACAACGGTCAGCTCTGATTTGGACCAACCCCAATAATTTCATTTTACAAAGATTCTGTCTCCAAATCCAGTCACATTTTCAGATGTTAAGATTTCAACAGCTAACTTGAGACAGATACAATTCAGTCCAGTCCATAGCAAGAATAATGGTGATTAAGCTTCTAAAGACTACATTAACTAGTATTCCATAGGTGTCTCAAACTCAGCAGGACCAAGATGTACTTTACTATCCCCCCTCTCAGCATCACTTACTCATCTAACTTTATATACAATACATAAAGTACTAATGATTTTAATTCCTAATCATTTACTATTGTCCATATTTCTGCTGGAAAAAATCCTAGAAATATAAATGTAGGACTTTAGCTAAAAATAGGTTTCATCCATAATGAAATACTAATCAGCTGTTAAAACATTTATGATGCTGTTATATTCTTTTAGGTGAAAGATCAAATCTTTTGACAATAACTTTCTCTATCTGACTCTCTCCAAAACCTCAGTTGTGTGTTTAACAAATGGAAATTTCTCCTGCTGAGCTTTCTTCTCCAAGTGTCCTTTTCCTATGTTAAGAAATATTTATTCAACAAATAATCATTGAGAAACAATTATGTACCAATTATGCTAAGTACTTGGTATACAAAAATAAGTAGGATAATTTTAAAAAACAATTCCTTACTAAGGAAACTGAAAAATAAGAAGTATTCTAGCATAAAAGGAACAGACTGAAAATTGTTTGTGAACCACCTAATCCTGTACTTCTAAGCCTATGTTCTTAATTAATAAAATAATGCCCACTAACATCAAAAAGGATCAAATAAGAAAAGCAAAACACTGAAATGTGACTCTAAGGGCCAGAAAAACATAAAGAATTTAGATTACCTCTACTAGGTAGACAGAATGAGATTATGTCAAAGCAGTTATTAGTAAGATTTTTTATACCAAGTTAGCAGTTGAATTCAAGCTTAGCCATCATCTTATCTTTTACAACTTTTCTATGTATGTAATACATACATACATACATATATAGAAAAGGCTTACTCTGCCACTTATAACGTTGTGTCAAGGGGTTCTGTAATAAGTCTCTTTTCTCTGCCCTTCATCATGCCTCTTTATTTGGTGTATATGAGTGACTGGCTGGACCTAGCATATGGAATCCCAGGAGTTTGAGCCGTGTGTCCAAAACTCTAGTTTCATTCTGACATCCTATTTTTATTATTATTATTGTTATTTTATTTCCTTCCTGCTTTGCTTTTCATAGGGGTATATTTTAACTTTCCAAATGGGCTGAGGGCAACTCAAGGGAAAAAAAAAAACAGGTTGGTAAGAGCAAAAATGCTAAAGGGTTTTGTCCCTACTGAAAGGATGATACTGAAATGAAGGAGCAGTACCTACAGAGACCTAAGTTGAGTGTCCCATGCAGAGGGAACTGTCATATATATATATAGTCAATGAGAGAAATGGGTACTTTAAGAAAGTTTGATGGATATAGTGAAGCAGGATTAGGAAGGGCAGAAAAATTATTGGAATTTGAGGCCAAAGAGGTAATAAGGACCAGAGAGTGGGGCCTTGTGTGTTTCACTTAAAGGACTTTAGGGTTTACTTTGAGTGAAATGAAGAGGGTTATCAGCAGAGGGGTGACTTGATCAGTTCCACAAAACCAAATTTTCATTCTCAAGATCAATCTTCTCAGAGCCGTCAGAATCCATCAACTTAAGGGAAGAGAAAAAGCAGAGTCAGATATAGAATCTTAAGTAGAGTTCCACAAATAGGTTTCAAGGAGGCATTAAGAGCTCCCTGGAATTGCTTGCAAAATATATAGGGAGAGCACGAACACTTTGGAAAGAGCATTTACATGTATCTGTGGATCTCCAGAGCTCTCCGCATGATGGTAACTTTAATAGATTGAGACCTAGTTTCATTACACAGTCCTATTACTGAAGGAATGAGACAGTACTCATAAAACCATATTTATGAATCTATATGTCATGAATGCAGAGCAAACACTCCTTATTTCTCTAATTTCTCCTTGAATTGCTACTCTTCCTTAGCAACTTTCTTTCCTAAAATATTTCATCTGGTCTTGTAACTACTTACTCTTCTGGTAACAATATTCTGACAATTTTCAATTATGTTTCCTTCCAGACCTTTTTCCCTAAAGTCCAAATGCATATATTCAACTGTGTTTCATATCCTCCTCTTAGATATGTAACAGGTATTTCAGACTCTCTCTGGATATCCAAAACTAGGCCTGTAATCCTCTCTAAAATTTGTTCCTTCCATATTGTACCCCATTTTTGTAATTGGTTTTCTCCATCCCAGTGGCTAATAAGCAAAAATCATTGGAATCATTCGTGAATTTTCTTTCATCTCCTACATCACTAGTTCAGAAGGAAAAAAAAAAATAGCCTTAAGTCTTTCAAAATATATACAGAACCTAGCCACTCCAACACATTGATTCAAGACACTCTTATCTCCCAGGTGAATTGTAGTAGCTTCATAACTGGTCTCCTTGTTCCAACTCTGGTCCCTCCCAACAAGCATCTGATAGATCATTTCAAAATATAAATAAATCTCAAAACCGTATTGCAGCTTTCCTACCTGGTGTTCTATTTGAAGCAGCTACCTATTCAGTGTCTTTTTTCAATAAAGCTTCGATGACCATCTCCTATAAAATATTACCTCCTTCCTTCTCACATGTATTTTCCTGATTAACCACCATAGCACTTAATACCAGACCTAATTTTGCTTAGTTTGCACACCCACACGCATTGATGAATAATTTTATTTACTGTCATTCACTGCTATAATTCCCAGAGCGTACAACAGTCTAGCACATGCTCAATTTCTGCTAACATCCTCTAAGTTTTCTTCCTCAAGCGAATGTCTTCCCTCCAATAACATCTAGTTCCTTTCTGTAGCTCTTAAAGATGAGATTCATATTAACTCCATTGGTTTTCCTGATTCCAAATTAGCACCTTACAGGTTACTTGTTGGCTACCAGGAGGAAAAAGCCTCATTTTTACACTAGAACTCTCACGCTAAACCAGCAATTGATCTATCATCTTGAGTTTCTGTAAATCAGACATCATGTGCCCCTGATGTGGCACAATAGTACGTCGGTGACAAGAATATTAACCTGATTTCAAGTAAACATGGAAACCACTTCTACTTAACATGGCATACAGTAAAGAAGCCAAGTAAAATTATCCCACCATTAACCAAGGAAGATATTCTATGGTCTGTTCTTCAAAAAACTTAATGTCATAAATGGGAGAGTGAAGTGAGGACACTTTCGTTGGGACAGAAGCAGAAAGATATCTGAACAAACCCAATCTCCTAAAACAGTTGAGGAACAACTGAGATGTTCTCAATGTGGGCCGAAAGCAAGCCATTTATTACGAGTAATAAGGTGTAGAAATACTCCATACTTAATTTTGAAACCTACATGTATCCTTTTCTTAGTATCGTTCGATTTGTTTATACTGTTACTCATTTACAGCCTCTCTACGTCTTCTCGTTTTAAATGAAGTCAGAATTGGCAGCTATGCCGAATACTGGCCTGTGCCTTTATTCTTCCCTCGGCGAGCACTCTTTACACGCCAGGTGCATTCGGCAGCACAGCAGCGCGCAGCCTTGCCTGGCCTGCGACCCACGCAGCTGCCAGCGCGCCGAGCAGCTCGGCTCCGCTTTGTTCCCCCAACAACGCGCGGGCGCTCCTTATTCCTCTCGCTCCCCGCCATCTTGAGCTGGAACACAGGCGAAAAAGGATTCGCTAGCATTGCCTTATTACAGAACAGTCCCACCTCCACATAAACACTGAAAGTTTACAGCGCCCAAGTACAACGTTCACCCAACCACCCTCCAGTCGTCACTAACCGTGCCGATTATCTAATAGAAACTAAATTCAACTCAACAATTTAGAAACATCTTATCTCTGCACTCGGCACAAAACGCAACTACCACGTTACTCAGGTTAACAGATGAACGCGAACAAAGAAAAAACAGGTTAGCTCTTTCACAGAAAATGTGGGCGGCCCTGAAAAGGGCCTTTGGTTGAGATGTTGGTGTTAAGTGAGCGATTTTAGCCGCCGAAGCCGTAGAGGGTGCGGCCCTGGCGCTTGAGCGCGTAGACCACATCCATGGCGGTCACAGTCTTGCGCTTGGCGTGCTCCGTGTAGGTGACGGCGTCCCGGATCACGTTCTCCAAGAAAACCTTGAGCACCCCGCGGGTCTCCTCATAAATGAGGCCGGAGATGCGCTTAACTCCGCCGCGACGGGCCAAGCGCCGAATGGCAGGCTTGGTGATGCCCTGGATATTGTCGCGCAGAACTTTGCGGTGGCGTTTGGCGCCCCCCTTGCCAAGGCCTTTCCCTCCCTTGCCACGTCCAGACATGCTAAAAACTCTCCTAGAACGTCTTAAGTACAGTGTGCTACAGGCGCTTCCCTTATATGCGCGGATTTCGGACCTAATTGAAGACTGAACGCGCGAGCACACTGGCCCCACCCTCCGCAGCCCAGAATGAATGACGTCACCAACGACCTGAGGTCGGGCTCACAAAACCGGCTCTGGGCGGAGGCTTCTGCTAGCCTTTTGTCCCCAAGGGTAGTTCGGCCATTTTAGCTGCTGCATCAGAATAAGGAAACTAGTAGGTTTTTTTAATAATTATTATTTGCCATTTGAGGCACTTTAGGATTGCACAGGTTTGCCCCACACAAATGCAACTGCTGCAACCTTGTTGCATGGGGAGTCCAGGGTTGTCGTTTTCCGCTCTTTGCTTTACAGGAACAAAAACACACTGCGGAGGAGCTTAGAAACTGAAAGATACTCTCTCCGTAACAAAGACAAGGAAATTGACCAGAACAGTTTTCTTTCTGAAGGCAAATATGTGGATAGCAAATATGTGGTATTCTTGCCCGTTCGCAGAGACTTGGATTCCATTCTCAGATAGTTTTCCTCCTGGTTTATTAAAATGTGTAGTTTTGTTGAAATATTTAGCCACCCCTCTTCACGTCTGCACCCAATTTACTAGTGAGTTTGTTTTCTTTAGTTTTAGTTTCGTTTTCTCTTTGATTTTGGTAGCAATAGTATTCCAATCAATCGGCACCTCGTACTTAGCCAACGTATTAAAAAAGGCGACTTCCCGTGGATTTTTTAAGCGTTTATGTAAGCACGTCGCTTAGCAACAGAGTTAAGAATATTATTAAAAAAGCTTGGCTTGTTAAGAGCAGAGTGGCGCAGCGGGAGCGTGCTGGGCCCATAACCCAGAGGTCGATGGATCGAAACCATCCTCTGCTAGAAGAAGCATTTTGGTGTTTGTTTCTTTTTCTATTCCCAGCTCTTTTCATATAGTGTTACTGCGATACTGTAGTTTACGAGCTCTTGTACTCACCGTTAGCCTGTTCCCCCTCCCCATAGCCATGGCCTTCCTTTCCCTTCCTCACTCATTTCCACATTGTCTTCCTGTCTGTCTCTGCCTGTCAACAAACAGGGGTCCGCTGCTATCTGCCTTTTGCCTGTCCATGTCACTGTCTTTCTGCCACTGTACCATCTGTCTTCATCACTGTGTTTATTGTTGCCGTCTGTCTCTGTCACTGTCCTTCTGTTTCTGTAGTCTGTCTCTGTAGTCTCTGCCTCCGTCTATCCACCTATGTCCCTGTCTGTCCAGTTCACATGGCTCCAACTGCTGCTCCTCTGCATCTATCTCAGCGTCCGTTTCCTTTTCGAGACCACTTTTTTCTGTTTGCTCACCCGCAAGTATTTAGTCAAAAATGTCTGCTCAACTCTACAGATCCCTCACCCTTAATGTCTTAGTTTTTGTTCTGGAGAGAAAATCTAATTGGCCCATCGCTGAGGATGCGGTGTAGTGTCCATAGGCCACTCCTGCTTCACTCTTCTGTGACTGGGGCCTGGGTGAAGGAAGTGGGATGTGGTGTTATATGATACGTAGAGTAAGGTTGGCTGAGGTAGACGGTTAGCTTTCCATTGGACGCACGAAGTGCCCCCTGAACTCCTGCCAAGCCTGGGACAAAGTTCCTGAACTGAGCTGCTCTGAGATTTCTTCCATTCAGTCTAATGCAATACCCTAACCTTACTAAGAAAAAATGTTTAATACAGGAAACAAATATGCAATTAACTTTTTCTAGTTATTAATTAATATTTTTATAAATCTTAGGAATAACCTTTTTCTAGTAGTAGTTACTATTTTTATGTTTCTTTGAGTCAGTTTTTTGACTTATGGGAATGAATTTTCTGTGTTATTCAATAATGGTCTAATGTGCCTATAATATATTCAGATGTGGGTTAAGAAATTATTATGACTTTAAAAACAAAATAAAACATCTTATTGTTTAAGCTATCGTAGTGCTTTTTAATAATTGACCTCATAAATAAATGCTGTAGTTTCAATATATCACTGACTTCTTATATATTAAGTAAAATACCGTTCAGTAGTTAAAAATTCATTCCCTTCCATACTGCTAAGAAATGATTCATCTGTTTTTCTTGTTTTAAAAATCCTTAATTTGATGCCAAATGAAGATCATGCTTTTGAAACCATGGAGTAACTACCCAATAAATGAAGCGTTTCAGTTTGCTTTTGAAATTGAAACATTTCTCCCCATTGTAACTTACTGACTGAATCAAAAATATATTTCTGTAGGATACCAAAATCACAAACTAAGGAGACAATTCTTGAGTCTCTTGAGGGTTCAATTTATTTCATGCAAAAATTGAGCCCTCGTACAATTTACAAGAGTCATATTCATGGAGTTTTGTTGTTGAAAAACACAAGAGAGCCACAAAATGACTTTTGCTAATATTAAAATTTCAGACAGTTTTTTTAGGTGTATCATACTGACTTAGTTTCTTTATTTCTTGTTTTATTCTAAATATTACCAAATCTCTTTCTGTAAGTCTATAGCTTTATTTACTTATTTACTTGGTTTTTTGTAGTACTGGAGCTTGAACTCAGGGCCTCATGCTTATAAGGCAGGTGCTATAACACTTGAGCCACTCCACCAGCCCAAAAAGTATTACCAAATCTTGATCTAACTTTTTTAAAGTAACTTCTGGTACAAATTTTACTTAGGTTCAGATAAATTAAACCATTGTTTCCTAGCCTTTATCTACTTCTTATATTCATAATTCTTGTTCTTGTCATTTATCTCAATAATTATCTTTTTATTATTTCATTGTTTTAAGAAGAAGAAAAACATATTTTACTCAAATTTGTTTTTTGCAAGAGCACTAATACAAAATATTAGGAAGAGATATATCTCAAGTTATCAGGTGCATATTGTAAATATTTTCTGTAGTCCTGTATATATATATATATATATATATATACAGTCCTGTGTGTATATATATACATGTATATTTTTTTTCTTTTTTTTTGGCAGCATTAGGGTTTGAACTGAGGGCCTTACACCTGCTAGACAGGCGCTCTTACTGCTTGAGCTACTCTCCAGCCTGTAGTGGTCTAAACAACCAGTGTTGCCAGGCGACAATATATTTGTGTGACCCACAAAAATATATATATAGAAATAGATACTATAGCTTAGATTAACAGTAACTAGGAAAACAAACCATATCCAGATACTTGTGAGGGTGTTGGAAGGGGAATATAGAATTAAAATGATTTCTGGAAAATAAATGTGGAACTTTTACCATCTCTGCAGATAAACAGAACACTCTTCCATGGACACCCAACTATTATTCACTAATGTACTCTCTCATAATAAATCGGATTTCTTCTGGTTACCAAAATAGTCATGCCAGTTATCATGACATACGATGTTACCCTATGAAACCAGGAAACTCCTGAAATAAACTGTATGTCAAGGACAAAAGGCAGGGTAGGCCTCCAGAAATGGAGTTTTATTCCCTTTAATACATAATTCAGAAAGCCTTTCTTGCCAGAGGGTTCAGATGATAGACTACAAAGTCACTGGGCAATCCCTGACATAGTCTTTGCAACTACAAGTCTTAATCTTAGGAATAAATAGGTAGCAATTTGAGACAGGTGTGGAGTTTATTGGCTACAAGTGAGTTCTGACCTGAGGAAAACACTTCTGCTGCTACTGGTGCCTGTCTCCTGTAAAATCTCTTATATAGCTATTCTCTATGCTCATCTTTTTAAGCATAGGTGCCCACTTTCCTATATTTCTCTCTGAGAAATGATTCTTATTCAGATATTTATGCGACAAATACTTTCCTAAAAGCTAAGAAGAAAAAGACAAGAACCATACAATCTAGACATGCTTTAAACAAGTAAATATTTTCAGGAGGCATCCACTAGTTCAGTGATTCAGGGAAAATACTTACCTAACTCAACCTGTGGAAGATTTACTACAGCCAAAGATACAATGGAAGAAAAAAGATATATATGCAGGTGAAAACTAGAAACAGCTTTCTTGTCCTGTCTCCTGTGATGACACGCATGCTCTTTCTCTCCAGCTAAGAACTGCAGGGACGTGTATCAGATGTGTTAGCCAAGAAAAGTCCACTTAAATGCTGGAGTCAAAGTTGTTAAAGGAAGTCGGTCGCCTAGCTACTGCATGATCAGTCATGGGGTGGACCCTTCACCAGACACCAGATGAACATCATGAATCTTCCTGTCTACCTAAAACATGCTGGCATATGGGGTCATTGTGACTCATTGCTTCAAGAATATAGAATAACATCATTATCTAGTAAACTATATGGACATTACAGAATTTTACTTTTCAGAGTTGACCAAGGCTCATCACCACACACATCTCTACAGAGTGAAGTGAAACTTGAATGAAACAGTTTTACTGCATGTATCTACTTTGACAATTATCTACTTTGAGAATGGTGGCAGGCTTTGAACCAAAACTTGAATGAGTAGACAGCCAAGAAGAACATCGTAAGCAAAGAAACCAGTACAAGAAGACAAGATAGTTAAGTTCCTAAGAAACTATAAATCATTTCAGTATGATTGAGTATGGAGATGAGGGAGGTTGAGTTAGGGAGAGGTATTTGGAGAGAAAAGGTAGCTGTGTTTGAATCACCTTCCACTGGTGAAGAGAACCTTGCCCTAAACACTATGAAATGGCTCATTTATTTTAAGAAAAAGTAAGTGGCTGAACACAGGTCACTCAACATGAAGTATATGAGATTGGTTCAGTGTATTAGTCACATACACTCACAGCATGCCAGGCAGGGCCACTGGGGGTTGCACAGGAGCAGAATGAACCAGCCTGGGCTGTGAGAGGCAGGCTTTGTAGCAATCAGAGCTGGGGGATAAAGGGCTGGCAGGAAAGTGAAAGCCATTATGTTGAGAACTGAGTGGATGCAGTTCCTCTGGCTGATAAGCAGCTGGCTAAATAGGGAGTTTTTCCTGTTCATAGGGGACCTATCTAGAAAGACCAGAATTTGTGGTTAAA